AAAAAATGAGAAAAAGAATAAAATCCACTTGTTGGGTCGGAGCTGAGATTTTTTTCCGCCTCGTACGGAAAAAAAAACCTATGGATCCAAAAAAAAAAAAAAAAAAAAAAAAATTGGGGAGAAGCTCGAAGGCTTAGTCCCCGCTTTTCACGAGCAGTTTATATGTCCACCACTGCGTAAAAAAAAATATGCAACAACAACGCGGTCTCTCCCCCCCAAAAAAAGCTCCCCCCTAAAAAAAAAACCTTTAAAATCTACCCATCTTCCTACAAATTCGGCAGGTCTGCGCTGCCCCGCGTGTCATGCTCCGCTCTGCCGCAGACCGTGCTCGCCACAGCCTTTAATCGCCAGCTTGCACGGCGCCCGAGTTATTTTTTTATATAGAAATATATATATAATTTTTAAAGCAAATCTCTGACAGCTCCGATCTTTGCAACAAACTCTCCCTAAAAAATCCCTCACCGCACTTTTTTCACTCGCACCGGAAGCACGTGAGGCGGCCCCGCACGTGGAGGCGGCCAATGAGGCGCCGCCGCGGCCGCTGACACCCGTGACGGCGCCCAATGGGCGCGCGCGGAGCCGCGCGGATAAATAACGCGTGGGGACGGGGCGGGCTGGGGGGGGAGCGCGCACGCTGCGCCGCGCGCGCCGCCGCCCCCCGCGCAGCTCCGCGCACCGCACCGCGCCGCACCGCGCAGCACCGCGCCGCGCGCACATCCCCCGAGCCGCTCCGCTGCCCGCCGCGCAAATCCCGCGCACGCTCCCAGCGCCCACGCGAGGCGGCGGCCGGCGCAGCGGCGGCCCCATCCGCTTTCCTGCCTTCTTCCCTCCCTCCGTCCCTGACGGTCTCCCCCCCAAAACAACCCCCCAGGGCCGCTCTCTCTGMGGAGCGCGCCGGGCGCGGTCCCTGCGCGGCCGCGCGGGGTCGGGAGGGAAGGGGCGGCCGCGCGTGTCCGAGGCGGGTGTCTGTGTCTGCCGCGGGTGGGGGGGTTACTTTGGACTGAAACTTTGATGGAAGAATAAAAACGAATCTCTCTATATATAGTCGTAGGAGCTACTGCGAGGGTGAGTTGGGCTTAAAGTTGTGACTGCTGTGCTGCTTTATTCTGTTTTGGTTTGTTTTGCTTTTTTTTTTTTTTTTTTTTTCTGGAGTAAGAAGCAGATCAAACGCCAGTATACAGATGAATTCGTATTGTGTCGCTTTTGCTGTTGTTGCTGTTGTTTCTTATGTTTGTTTATTTGTTTGTGTTGCCTCAATTTGAGGCTTTCTGTATTCTGCTTCTTCCTAGCCTGTGTATTTTTCCCTCACAGCTCAGAGCGAGCACCTCAGGCCGTGTTGAAGCAGCCGCGAAATTGGATTTTTTCACGGGAGAAGGAAAATAAGGCTTTTTTCCAGCTTTTTGAAAATTAATTGACGAAAAACTCAAGCTCCGCTTCCGCGCTGCTTTAAGCGCCCTGCGCAGAGGGCCGCAAGAGGAGACGGGCCAAGTTGTCACCGGGCGCTGCCTGTGTCCCCAGCGGCCCGGATGCTTCCAGAGCGGCCGCGCGCTCGGCTCGTTGCTCCCTCCTGGCAAGGGGAAGCCTAAATATCGGGGTGCACGTGGGGGGGGACCCGGGTCCAGTGCGGGGGCCGCTGCTGCCCCTCACTTTCTGCAGGGCAGAGGGTGCCCCAGTGCAGCCCCCACCTGCTGCCGTGCAGCCTCCGCCGAGGCCGCCCGCGCCTTCCCGCGGCCGCGCAGAGGGTCTTTCCCTGTTTCCCTGCCTTTTTTTTTTTTTTTTTTTTCTCTCTCTCTCCATTTGACGTAACCGGGGACCTCAGGGTCCCCCTCGCCGAGCCCCGCGCCCTGAGGAGCGGGGCTGTCCCGTGGGGTCGTGCTCTGCCGCGGCCCTGCTCTCCGCCCGTGCGCAAGCCAATAAYAACAACAACAGCAATAATAATAATAACAACAACAACAATAATAAATCCAATCCGTTTGGTTGAGACTTGCAATGTAGACACTGACTCCAGTCTCTCGGCCCTCGCTCACCTCTCGGTGGAGTTTYATTCCTTCCCTGGTGCCCGGGAAGGCGGCGGTCGCGCCGGGTGTCCACGCACGCACCTTCCAGGCACCCCCGGCGCTTTTCCGGGCAGGGGGGACGTTACCGGATTGTTACCTCCAGCCACACAATAATCTTCTAAAATAATAGCCGGCATAACACAATCACTGCAGGAATCAAGAGCTCCATCCGCAATTAAATGAATGTTACATACCACCCCTCAGCATTCCTCCCCCCCGCATTCACAATATCATATCATTTACCCGCACCGAAATTGGGTTTATTTATATTTAAGTTAGCAAAATTGAAATCTTTATCCCAAAAGCGAGCGTGGGTACTTAATTAAATTCTAATTAGGACACTATCAATATCCCATTTAGCCACGTAGCCTTTGTGAGCCGCGGTCCCTTTCAGCGCTGTAAATGGGGGCTCGCTGCCTTATCTCTCCTGCAAGAGACGCCTTGAGAAGGCCTGCAAAAGATAATTTATAGGTTTTAATTACTCTTCATTCCGCCTGATCAGCTTGGCGTTCATCACAGGACGGCGAATAAAACCTGGTCAAAAGCACTGTCACTATTCCCTGGCAAGACGCTTAATCAAAGTAAGCAGGGCCATATTACACGCTGCGAGCTTCTTCACGTAATTTCCCAGCTGCTGATAAAGCTAGTTGAATAATGCTGCAGTCCTTCGGAGACACCATTTACAGAAATGACTTTATTGACGGCTTAACGTCGGTAATTCATTTTACCTTTCATGTATTGGGAGCCCGGATTTGTTACAGTAATAGGATGATAAATGTCCTGGCGGCCCTATAGCTTTTATTATTGAATACAATACACACACCCATCCTTAAATGTTCCAAAATTGGGTAACAAAAGGGAGAGAGAGAGAAATCGAAGCTTTTAACTATTTAATTTGCCGTCGTGTGCGCTGGGGGGGGGTGCGGAAGAGCGATGCGGGTGTGTTTGTGTGCGCGGGGGGGTGGATTTCATCCGGAGTCCTCCCTTCTTCTGGAAACTGTTCTGGATTTTAAAGGCTTCGCTATAAATTGAGTAGGTTTGTGTATGGAGAGGGTGGGGGAGCGGCTGGATGAATGAGGAGGGGTTAAAGGAAAAGACGAAGTATATTTTCAGGCTGGATATTTTTTTTTCGCCGCCACCGTTCCTATCTAAATAGATAGATAAATATTACACTGCGGCTTGCAGATAGCTACAGCAATCGAGGTGATATGTCTACATTGCGTCTTGAGGGCAGAGGGTTTGAAAAAGAAGCGAGGGGGGGAAATCCATTGTTAGGGAAAAGTTCCCTCTGMGACTTGCGGGTGTCGAGGCGCCCGTCGGGGCCGCCCCGCGCGCCGCTGCCGTCGGGGCCGCCGCAGCCCCGCGGAGCCGCCGGAGCCTCCGCAGCCCCCAGGTGCTCGCGGGAGGCGGCTCTGCTCGCCGGGAGCCGGGCGGGCGGCTCCGCGCCCCTCGGAAGTGCCGTGGATGGGCGCTAATGCTCTGGGCATCCTCCTCCAGGTGCGCGTTGTCAGGCGGAGGGGCTGGCAACGAGGTCCGCAACCCTGGAGGGACGAAGGAGGGGGGAAAAAAAAATCAAACCGCGGAGGGAAAGATGCTCTGAGGCGGCCGAAGGGACCGGAGAGGACGTGGCCGGTCCCGTCGGGGCGCGGGCAGCGCGACCGCTTTGTCCCCACCACACAATGCCCACCGTCGGGAAAGACCGTTTTGCCTTTTTCTTTTTCTTTTTCTTTTTCTTTTTCTTTTCTTTTCTTTTCTTTTCTTTTCTTTTCTTTTCTTTTCTTTTCTTTTCTTTTCTTTTCTTTTCTTTTCTTTTCTTTTCTTTTCTTTTCTTCCAGAAAGGGGTTTCAAGTCAAAATTAAATTTGAAATCGGATCAAAAATCTTTATATATATTTTTTTCTCAGTGCCCTTATAGGAAAAAGGAAGTATAGAAACGTGGTTAATATACGCTGTGGTAATCCTATTTCTAGGTCTAGATCAGATCTCATTGGGGCCTTTGCTGAAGGACATAAATGAGTTGTTCTAATACAATAGATTTCATCCTTCCTACAGGGACTGGCTGACCAGCGGTTTTGTTAAAAGTGAATACGAATAGATTTCTGCTACAAGTGCAGCATTATTATTATGAGCTGTAAGGTCAGACTATACATTCCGGGTCCCCAAAGCCTATAGACCCTGGGAAATGCGCGGGATATACCACGTCATTGTACCTGACAGTCTCTTCAATAGACTAATTCAATTATCGCTTGGGGATTCAGTCTTCATTGAGAGCAATAATAGCAGTGTAATTCGTTGGTAAATAGGTATTGGAAACGGCCCGGGTCGAAACTTTTTCGGGGCACCGGTTTATACCTCGGGAATTCCCAGCCTCGGCGTGCCCGAGCGCGGGGAGCGGGCAGGGGGGAAGGAAGGGGCTGCTTTTATTCGGCTGGAGGCCGCGCTG